TAATTATATGAGGAAAATATTTAGAAATCAGGTTTTTTTTGGTCCTGTAATGTGTTTAATATTAGAAAGCACATTTTAGTGGTATGCAACCTCATTACAGAATCAAATATGGAACTCCTGATCCATGCCTACTGCTGTTGTTTGACCTAAATTAATTTCTCTCCCAGATTCCCCCCTCTGTGGTTATGCTCTAATTGATATCTTGGTTTACAGTGTTTCTCTCTTACATCATTTAAGTTTCTCCAAGCACCATTTTAACTACCATCTAGCTTAAGAAAGTCCTTCTTTTCATCCTTGTTTCTTTCTTTTAAATAAAACAACTCAAAGCTTTTTAATTGTGCTAATTTTACCTGTCACATCTTTTCCCTTAGACTATTTAATGTAAATTGTTTTTTTGTGGTGGTGTACAGATTTGGCAGAGGATAATGGTAGGTCAGTGATAGAATTCTCACTCCCATATGGGAGACCTGGCTCCATCCCTGGCCAGCCCCCCTCACTTGCATCTGCCTACAGTGGGGGCTGTGTTGCTATGACACAGGGCAGGTTCAATGGAGCTTCCATACTAAGACAGATTAGAAGGGAAAGCCTGATGACGTACTTCCACAACGTACAGCAGCAGCCTGCTCTGAAGCGACCACCACGTGGCGCAGGGCTGGGCAGCAGTTCATTCTGTTGTGTGTGGCTGCCACGTGTCATGTTTAACTGGTTGGTAGCGAACAGGAAGAGTTATTTCACCTGACGACCTCTTCTTTTCAGGTTCCTGTGGAACACTCAGCACACGTGCAGCCTTGAGGCCTGAGGATTACAAATACAGTGACACAATCTCCAGATGTCATGCGATCCCCCTGATCTCCTGGAGGACCTGAAGCTGAACCTCTCAAGCAAGTGTGCCCTCCATGCTGGCTTCCACACAGGCGCTACTGACAAATGTCTGCTTCACAGTGAGGCGAGGGGCTCAGCTCTGCAGCAGCCCTGCCTATCACAAATCAGCAGCATCTCCTGTGACAGCTGCAGTGTACTCTCTTCCTCTAAGTTATTTAAAGCAGACTCTGTTTAAGTCAGTTTTTAAAACAAACAAGGAAAACATTTATCCAGGGCCTTAGGAGGCTGGGGAAAGGCTAGTTTGCTCATCCATAGCTGGCACAGGGTACATACAGTCTTTACGACCTCAACGGGTCACACTGTGACTGGGAAATCTGACCAGCTATTGGCAGCCCTTCCCTGCAGAGTTACCTGTCCTTCACCATGGACCACTGTTTCTAGGCATAGGTGTCAAGGGCTAGTGTGATTTCTTCCCTTCAACCTTTACTGTGCAGAATAATAAATCCTGAAAGTTATTAATCTCTGGTCAATCAAGTGTCCATATTGGGTCATCAATATATTTAGCCACCAGACAGAAAACAATTAGAGGGAAGCGGAGGGGAAAGCCTATGAAAACAGCCACAGATCTGATCTGAACGTGGTCCTGTCAACTTAAAAAAACACTGCCATCTTCACCAAAGGTCACAATCAGTTATCAGTAGAAAAATCAATGGTGATAGATGCAAAATAGATAAATTCATGATGCATGCTACACACTGAATGAACATGGTGAAAAATCTGGTCTGTGCATTTCTAACTCTTGGGAACAAAATTCGTTGTTGGCAAACTGGACCATTCATTTAGTTTCATGGGTTCCTACTGTGAACAGATGTTAAAGTGCAAGCAGAGAGGAGAAAAAAACATGAAGAGAGATGTTAAAATTGTATCCGCCTCTTCATTCGTATCACCCATTTTGTTGACTCTTGGAGGTTTCGGTATGTACCCCTCTTGGTTTTACAATGAAAGCAGCCCATGAACACATTCTTTCTGTCTGGACAAATCACTGCAGATTATAAGAGGTCTTTTCTCACTGGCAAATTGAGGCTACCAGTTCTATTTTGCTCATGGTACTATCATACAAATGATCCGAATTTTCTAAACTGAACATTATGAACAGAATGTATTACCCTCAATAAGACACCCATTACTTTGACTAAACATGGCATTAAAGATACTTGCTAATTTCCTCCTTCTCCCCTTCACCCAACTACTGTAGCAGCAAGCCTTCCTTTTTGGAAAGGCCCATCTGCAGTATTGTGCCTTTGTTCCGACTGGGAGCACATCACAAATGGACAGCATTTAGAATTGTTTTAGCAGCCTGCAAACATCTGCTCAGCTGCCTGAATGCTGCTCTAGCAGGCTACTGAGTAATCAGGTAACATTCAAAAAGAGTCCACAAGGGCCGGAACTTCCCTACCAGCATTTTTCTTCAAAGAATAATGTGCTTCGGGAATGAAAGGAAGAAAGACTGAACACAGGGCAGGGAGGCAGGGGCCACCCTGAGCCTCTGGGGTTTCAATGGCTCCCTTTTTTGTAAGATGGTGTTCAATCTTGAATATTCAAATAATATCAACTTTATGTTATCTGGGTACTTTTTAGTTGATTTGTTGGATAAGTAAGAATCTCTGGGAGAGTTTGCAGCTTTTATAATCCAGCTTTCTTATATATTTTAAAAACATCTAATTTTAAGTTCCTGTGGCATTTATCACATCAGATCTGTGATGACCCTAACTTGAGAACCTCCTAAAAGCCATCACACAGATTCCAAAGAACTGACAGTGGGTTCCTCTGAGGGTATCGAGAGGCAGGACCCAGGTGAGGAGCAGTCAGGAGTGGGTTCATGCTAGGGCAGGTACCTCTGATTCCACCTGTGAGGGGCAGAGGACAGGTGATGACCACAGGGCCATCAGTGTGTCAGTGGTGGTGTAAGCTCTATACAGCCCTCAGGTAGGAGCATGAGCTTGCATTCTGGGGCTTTGTTCCTTGTGTGTAAAATGTGTGTTTACTGAGTATCTGCTCTGTTTTGGGCTCACTCTGGGCACTACATACACATTTCATCTGGGTGGCAAAGCCACACTGGAGGAGTGCCTGTCAGCTCCATTCACATGGAAGGAAGCATATTAGTCCCTTATCCAGGCCACCTCGAGTGTGGTGCAGGGGCCATGTGAGGCTGAACTCTGCATGGCGCCCAGAGGCTTGCAGGGCATCAGTGGGGACTAGCGATGATCTGGCTCCACAGCTATGCCACTGCAGTCCCACCTTCAGGCTTCCCACTTCAGAGCTTCATTATCCAATAAGATATAACATCACCTCATGTGCTTATTAAAAGTAGCTGCATGTGGCTGAACAAAGCAGACAGAGATACCTTTACATCATGAGTTCTGTCAGGAGGGGCTGCCCTAAGTGCTGAAGTTCTTTTGCTCTCTGGCTACAACCATCTCTTATCCTCTTAGGTGCCTCATCCTTTCGCATCTAATTCCTGTTCCTCACGGTCCACTGGGCACCTCAATAGCCCCTGCCTCCAAGTCTAGCATTATCAAGTGTTATTTTCTTATCTCTGGTCCCAATGCTCCCTTGAATTTCTGCTGTTCACCTCAGCAAATTCATAACCTTTTATAGATCACATTCTCTGATTTCTCTTCTGTATTCTGGAATACAATGTATTACTAGGGAAAGAGAAAACAATCATCTTATTTAGGTCCTCTCTCCTTCTGAATGCCACTCCTTTAATTAATCTTTGATGCTTCAACTCACCCCTTTTAAAGCCTACTTCTTGAAAACCTCACAACTCTTACCATCTCAAGCTCCAGTGACCCAACCTGTAGGCATTTGGGATGATAATACATAACCACTGCTGTGTGCTTTAGAAAAGGCTTTTCATTAGACAAGGTGGCCCACTAGATGGTTTCCACTTGGGAGTGCTCATTTCCTGCCTTCACACCTGGGTTTGCAATACCTTAATCCTGCAGAAGTGTCCCCTGTGCTTCCACCTCTGCCACAGGACTGTTTTTGGATTAACTTCCCTTTTTTGGATTTCTCTAACATTCAGTCCATACTTATCATAGAAGTTTTACTCTTTGCAATGTATCAATTCAAAGACTAAGGTGTACCTGATCCAAATTAGAACCTTTTCAATTACTTGCTATGCAAGTGTAAGTTGCACAGTGTGTAAGGATGACAGATGAATAGATGCCTTTGAGCTGTGGTGCTGGATAAAAGCAATGAATATTCTACTGACTGACAAAAGACAGATAAATATGTTTTGGAAAAGGTGTAGTCAGGGTGCTCCTTGGAGGTAAGGCTCCAAGTGAAACTTCATCTCATAGACTTTGAGAATGCTCTTAGGAGGGTCCAGTCCAGTCCTGTCCAAACATCATGTGAAGGAAGGGAAGACTCTCAATGAGCTGGACTGATGTAGTAACTCTAACAGTGGGCTCAAGTATGTCAGAGATGGTCTTGACAGCACAGGATAGGGCAGGACTCACATTCTCTGTTCACAGGGTGGCTATGAGTCATAGACTCAATGGTACTTAACAACAACAATAGTGTATAGGTTAGAGAGCTCTGGTGGCCTAAACGTAAGATGTTGCACTGCCAACTCAAAGACACGTGGTTCAAATCTACTGGCTGTTATGAGGGAGAAATATGGGCAATCTCCTCTCATGAAGTTTACAATCTCTGGAAACCTGCTAGAAATTCATCTGTGCACCAGTTCTGACTTGACGGCACATCATGACAATGATGTACAGATACCTCAAACTCCTCTACTAAATCATGGGCCTGAGGGACAGGATGCCTGCTTGAGCCTACTTGCACCCTCAGTGGTAACTAGCATAGTTCTATATACAGAGAAAACACAGTGCATATTTTTTGAGTGATCACGTTTTAACAATGACAAATTAATTCCTCAGCTAGACACAGAGAGTCCAATGATGGGCTGGTGAACACATTTCTCCTAATGATCTCAGCATGGAAGTCTAACAAAGTCAATACAATGAAAACAGGGATGCACATGGTGACCAGAACTGCACTAAATGGAGCAACGTGCACTGCTTGTCTGCAGGAGGGTGAAGTGGGTACATGAGGACAGAGGATGCTTGAACAACTCAGGGAAGACAGCAAAGCTGGAAAAGACTTACCTTGTGTTGCAATGTAATGATTGGGTCGATGATAACCCTAAAAATAAATGAGAAAGAATATGTGACAAACTTAAAAGTTGATAAGTAGTCCTGAAGTCGCATGCTAAGTTTCCATAATACTATACATACAAATACTATGAGTTGCATCACTTGAAAAGTATTTTATCAAACGGAACACCTGTGAAGGTACTTCAAATAGAATAGTTCTCATGCATTCACGGGAGGTGTGATAACTAAATCCTACACTGCCCTGAGATGATGGATGAGCAGTAAATACTAACAATTTATGGATTCTCTGTAATAACATGACCATGGCTCTTATTAGAGTACAAACAAGCTGAGGATGCACAATAGAATTTCATTTGTGTTTAGGATAATATTGGTGGTGTGCTAAGGGTTTAACATATATTGTGTTAAATTGGTATAGACAATTATATCAATAGTAATACAAAAAACATTCTTAAATACTACTGAAGTACCGAAGCTGTGAAACAGAGCTGTAGTATGGGTCAAAATTTAAGAGGTAGGCGTTTCACTAGACCCATCGACTCATCATGTGTAGCATGACCCTGAAAGGGGGGGGTGATGGTAAAAATTAAGACTGAAGAAAGCAAGCTACCACTGTAGGGTAATTGTCTGTGAAAGATAAAATCAACTCAGAAAATGACACTTTACATTAGACATTAAATTACCACAGACTTCAATGTTTTCCATTTCTGTGCCCTGAAATTACCTAACATACTAGGTCTAACAAGAAGCATAAAGAAATTTGGAGAGGAAATCCAGATTTCTTCAACAAATTAAATGCCAATTAGACTCTTTTTCTTTTCCTAAAAATTGTTGTTGTTGTTATGTGCCGTCGAGTCACCTGCGACTCATAGCAACCCTATGTACAACAGCCCTAAACTCCACTCTGTCTTGTGCCAATCGCACTGTCTCTGACACTCCCGTCCCAATTATCCCAGTCACTGAATCAATCCACCTCATAGAGGGCCTTCCTTTCCTGCGCCGTCCCTCCACCCTCCCAAGCATGATGTCCCTCTCTAAGGACCGGTCTCTCCTCACTACATGTCCAAAGTATGTTAGACGGAGCCTCAGAATCCTTGCCTCCAAGGAGCCACCCGGTTTAACCCTCTCCAGGACAAATCTATTTGTTTTCTAGCAGTGCATGGTATTCTCAGTACTCTTCTCCAGCACCACAGCTCAAAGGCATCAGTTCTCCTTCTATCCTCCTTGGTCATTGTCCAACTCTCTGATGCATAACAGGTGATTGCGAAGACCATGGTCTGTTTCAGATGCACCTTAGTCTCCAGAGAGACACCACTGCTCTTCAGCACTTTGGAGAGGTCCCTAACAGCAGACTTTCCCATGGCAATGCGCCTTTTAATTTCCTGGCTGCTGGTGCCAAGACTCTTGACTATGGAGCCAAGCAAACTAAAGCTGTGTACAATCTCAATCTCTTCACCATCCATCCTGATGCTGCCAATTGGTCCAGTGGTGAGAATGTTTGTCTTCTTGACATTGAGCCTCAATCCATATTGTAGGCTGCAGTCCTTGACACTCTGCAGCAGGCACTTCAGGTCCTCTTCAGTTTCAGCAAGCAGGGTTGTGTCATCCGCATAACGCATATTGTTGATAAATCGTCCACCAATCCTGACCCCACATTTCTCCTCATAGAGCCCAGCCTCCCGGATAATCTGCATATAGGTTGAAAAGGTATGGAGATAGGATGCATCCCTGGTGTACGCCCTTCCCAATTTTGAACCATGCAGTGTTCCCTTGCTGTGTTCTGACGACTGCCTCCTGGTCCAAGTATAAGTTTCGCATTAGAACGATCAAGTGTTCTGGGATTCCCATTCTTCTCAGAGTCAGCCATAGTTTGTTATGATCTACACAGTCAAATGCCTTTGCATAGTCAATGAAACACAGATAGACATTCCTCTGGTATTCCCTGCTTTCAGCCAAGATCCATCTAACATCAGCTACAATATCTCTAGTACCAGAACCCCTTCTGAAACCAGCCTGGACTTCTGGTAGTTCTCTGTTGATGTGCTGTTCCAGTCGTCATTGATAAAAACAAAGACATACATTATTTCATATAAGTAACTTGCTATAGGCCTTAAATAAAACAATAATTATCAATACTAAATAGAATGATTTAGACAATTATTAATTTCCTGCTAACTAATAAGCCCTACAATGTTCAGGCATTTCATAAATGGAATGAATTTATACAGCCCGCGAAGACCCCCACACTGTGAAGGATAATAACGGTCATGTCTGTTTTCAACGATAGGAGATGATGAATCCTCCTGGAATGCTTTTTTCACTTGGTGTCTAGAATCTGACATGCTCCTGCCTTTTTTTTATGTTTTTTCACTGTGTTTGCCTCCTTAGGCACTCTTCAGTTTTGCGGTCCCTGCTCGTTTTCTGAATCTCTAGTATTTAGTGCTCTGGTGGAGGGAGCTGTTGCTAACCTGAAGTCCTCACCTCTCGGTTAGAATTTACCAGCCACTCCTTAGGAGAAAGATGGACAGTCTCCTGTCATGTGATTTACAGTCTCGGAAAACTCAGTGGAGGGTCAGTCATGAGTCGGTTCTAATTCAACAGCACTAAGTTTGAGTTTTGACTTTGGATGAACAGATACCCAGTTTTGAACTTTTTCTCCATCTATTATCACTCCCTTGGTAAGCTTACCACCAAGGCTTTAAAGACCAACTGAATATTGGTGAAGCCTATATTTATAGCACAAACCTTTTAGCTGGAATAAAGACTTGCTATCAAACTGCCTATTCAACACTGCTGCTTGAATGCCTAATAGATATGTTTAAAGTTTAATATGTCTAAAGCAGAGTTCTTAATTTTCTAACTGCCACCAGAATATGCTGTATCTTCTTAGTTAATGGTGATGCCAAATATTGAAAGCGCCCTTGACTCTTCTTTACTCTAAGCCTAATCTATGATTACTAATCTGATGATTACTTTGTCTTTATCTTTAACTTATATCCTGAGTGCTGAATTTCTCATTATCTCCACTGTTAGCACTCAGGCCAAGCTACCACCTTTTCTCTCCAATTAGTTCACAGCCACCCAACAGGCCTCCTTGCTTCCAATCCTGCTGATCTATGCTTTATTTTCCTCATAGCAGCCACATCGGCTCCAACTCCCTCTACTGACTGCTCATCTCAGTTAAGAAAAAGCAAAGAACACATGTCAGAAGCATCATGACCACCATATCTTGGCTCCTGCAACTCCCTCCTTCACTTAAATATTGCTTTTCTCCAAGTGTGCAGGCCATGCTCCACCTCAGGCAATGCATAGTCAATTCTCACTCTGGACGCTTCTCCCGCAGGTATAGTACCTAAGTGGCTCCACCCTTCATCCTCCTGGCACAACTGTCACCTTCCAGAACTGACTCTAGCCACTCTGTTCACAGGGGAAACCCTCTATGCCTGGCATTCTGTGTTTTCCTTTTACAGTTTTCTGTGTATGCACTGAGCACACCACCTCCTGCTGCACTACAAACACCCTGCTGCCCACTCACCCCTGACCCACAGTGACCCTCTATTGGGTTTCTGAGGCTGCAAATCTCCACTGAAATGTCCATTTCTCTTCTGTAGAGCAACTGATGGGTTTTAAATACTGACCTTTCAGTTAAAAACTTAACAAGCAATAGACTATGTTCCTGTGCTCCGAACAGACAAAATATAACCAACCTTAATTCATTTATCCTCTATTGCTACTCATTAGAAAACTAGCTCTATTATAGAAAGTTGTTGAGTTTTGGGTTTTTAAAAAATATTATTTGTTCAGTTCTAACTCCAGAACTCAGACAACTGAGTGGCACAACAGAGGCCCTCAATACTATCTGAATGTCGACTGGACAAAAATCCCCATCCAATTCTATTGTTGCCAAGTTGATTCTGACTTCCAACTTTCAGTAACCACAGAGAATAGGGCAGCATTTCCCCTTAGAGGTTCTAAAGCTGCAAGTCTCCACACAATCTGAATGCCGCAGCCTCCTCTCAGGAGGCAGCGGTGGGCTTGAACAGCTGACCTTTCTTTAGAAGCCCAGTTACTCACTGTGCCACTATGGCTCCTTCAAATGCATAAAGGGCCCTTGAATATGGACTCCCTTTCTGTTGAAATAAAAGTAAGCTGCGAGGAACCTCTCAAGAGTAGTGAAGAGCAATGATGTCAGGCTGGAGACTAAGGTGCACCTGATCCAGGCTATAGTCTTCGCAGTTATGTGCTTTGCATCGGAGAGTTGGACAGTGAATAGGGATGATAGGAAGAGAATTGATTCCTTTGAGCTGTGGTGCTGGAGAAGAGTGTTGAATATATCATGGACTGCTAGGAGAACAAACAGATTTGTCCTGGAGAGGGTAAAGCCAGAATGCTGTTTGGAGTCAAGGATTCTGAAGCTTCATCTGACATGTTATAGGGGCATGTTACAAGGAAGGACTGGTCCTTGGAGAGGGACATCATGTTTGGGGCAGTGGAGGGACGGCACAGGAGAGGAAGTCCCTCGATGAGACGGATCAATTCTGTGAGTGGAGTGGTGGGAATGAGTGTGTTTGGGACGGCGAGGTTGTCACAGGATAGAATGGCGTTTAGGGCTCCTGTACATAGGGTCTCTATGAGTCTCAAGTGACTTGATGGCACATAACAACAACATTTAAGTATTTTCCTACTTGAATATGTTTGTTCCTACTGTTTACTCGGGCTGGAAACACCTTCACTCCTCTGTACCTTCCCTCACACATTCCTTACCATTTACCCCAAATCCCTGCCTCTCTGAGCTTAATCTGACCGAATTTATTCCATCTAAGTGCTTACTTTGACATGTGCCAGGAGCAGGGAATACCTTTGAATAGGTATTTGAATAGGACAATACCTTTGTTTTCAAAGACCCACTGGGGTTGTAGGATAGGACAAGAGCATGAACAGCCCAAGGGAAGGTGTTCTCAAGTCAACCAGGAGGCCAGAAGACTTGGGAAAAAATATTGTCTTTCTGTTTCAGATTCTAAATTGTGAGCATTTGGGGAAAGGCTTTCAGGTCTTCTCTCTCACATATACCATAACGTGGAAAAGGTGCAGCCAGAATGCTCTTTGGAGGCAAGGATAGTGAAACTTCATCTCACAGACTTTGGGCATGTTGTTAAGAGTGGCTAGTCCTAAGAAAAGGATATTCTGCTTGGAAAAGTGTAGGATCAAAGAAATAAAGACACTCATTGAGATGGACTGATACAGTGAATGAAGCACTGGGCTCCAGTACGTCGAAGATGGCCAGGATGGCACAAGATAAGGCAGGGGTTAGGTGCATTGATCACAGGATCACAAGGAATTGTGGTCGACTTGATGGCACTTAACAACTCACTTACCACCTGCTGAATGAATAAGTACAACATACTTTAGAAAGAAATTATGCTTTGATACAAAAACCCAAATACTTCAAACAAACAAACAAACAAAATCTGAGCTGGGTATGTTTCCCCTCCTCTTCTGCCAAACGGTTTAGAGGGACTGTCTTGATATATAAGATATAAATTATTACATAAATAATCATCCCCAAGTTCTGCCTGCAAATCTACTTATAGTTAATATTTGGGTAACTTTTTCCCAGAGAGTGTTGCATTAATTGGTTTTAGTAGAATCTAAACAATAATCAACAAAGGACACACACACACATACACACACACAAAATTAATAAACAATAGAACTGACAGAACTAAGATTCAATATGATGGTCAAACACAGGGAGCGCCATAAAACCACAGGAGCTGAGATCTGTTAACGTGTAAATTCAGGCTTTCAAGGTAGCAGCAACTTTCCCTTGATTTTCAGTCCCCTTTTGATTTCATTCATTCTTTCAACTGAAAACATACTGTCTTCTAAAGAATTTATTCTAATGTAAAACATTAAGTTAAGATGATGCAGAATGAACAAAGAGGGGGTCTTCAATAATTAAACAGCCTACATATTTCATGGCATGTCTTGCTTGCATTAGGAGCTGAAGACTACTTTGAAGGCAACTTAAAAGTGCAGTGATGACAACAGGGTGCAGATCTCCATATTAGGAAGTTCAGAGTTTTGTCCTATTAATATGCAAATAGGCTTCTGTTAAAGCATGTAATCATCCAAGTTCTTGACAAAAAAAGGAAAATAAAATTCTCTTAGTATGCACATAAGCTTGCAAAGCAAAGAAGCCAAAGAATGTTAAAGAGAAATTCACCTCCATAATAGGCTGGCTTGAGCAAAGCCATGGATGGGCCTTCACCATTACGCTGTGGGGTGCAGGGGGCCACAGCATCATGCTTGCTCCCACACCTGGCCCCATGCGTACCCACTAATCTTAAAGCAAACACATGATATGACACATGTCAGAACAGGTGGGTTTACTGACAGTCTTGGAATACATACATCAATATAGTTCCCATTGATATAGTCTGAGTTGTTCTCTCCTTCTATTGTCTGCAGCCTCACCCGGGAATGATCATCTGCAGAGGAAAAGGAAAAGAAAAAAACATCAATTAGGAAAAGCAACCTGCTCTGCAGCTGAGTGGCCCAGGAGGTGGGCAAGTGATGCAATCAGTGCTGCACAGGTAGCCCACGTACCACCCAGACCCAAGCACACCTCTTGCCCTGGCTCACAGGGCAGGGCTGCCCCAGTGGCTCGCAAGGCTTGTGCACAGTCTCCAGGAACAGACTGCCACGTTTCCTTCCAGTGGAGCAACTGGTTGGTTCAAACTACCAACCTTTTGGACAACAGCTGAGCACTTAACCACTGCACCACCATAGCGTCTTCATTAAATACCTCACATCCTCTAAATTCTTATTTTGCCGTTAAGATTATGAACAACATAGAATTCTTTACACTTTGTACTAAATCTCATTAACTTGTGCTTCAATCATTTGTAGACATGAAACAACAAACATTTGAGAATTTTATATGGAGTTTGCTGAACCATACAAATTATTGTTTGGCTTGGAACTTTCTGCAACCATGGACAAACTGAGATCCTGAAGGCTGCCTCTGATGCTCATCTTCAGCAATAATGGCTACACTCCACAACTTAGCCTTTGGCAGCAGTCCCAACTTTGGTCATTCTCCACGCCTTCTCGGAGCCTTGTGGTTGCGTCTGCAGCATCTGAAGGAGTGGTGCTGCTCCTCAGCCACATTGGACAGCCAGCTAAAAAGTCCAACAAGCCTCAGACACCTCGTCCATAAACAGGATCATGGCACCTGCTGAGCTCATGTATGAAACCAGTCTCTCTGAGGAGGTACCCAGGATGAGACAAAGCTTCAGACAATACTCTGTGATGTATATGGTTTTCACTGGCTGATCTTCACTGGCTGAGCCATTCTTCCTAGTCTCTCTTAATCTGGAAGATTAATCTGGATGAAACCTGTCCACAACTGGTGACCCTGCTGGTATTTTAAATACTATTAGCATATCTTCCCACATCATAGTGACACTCAGGCCACCGCAGCATGACCAACTGATAGATGAAGGGTAGCCTAATTGCAGGAGACGAATATCATGTTAAAATAAAGCACTAGCAAAACTGAAATTCTCAGCAAGAAAGCCATAACAATGGACGCTAATGACTGTTGGTGATGAAGCAAGCCAGATGTATGTGTTTCTGAGCTGGGAGGTGAATGAGGGGGTATTGTCAGGTATGGATGAGCTGGAGGGTCTTGTGTTTGGGTGTATGACCTCCAGGGTCGGGGTGTGCAATGAGGGTCCTAGCTCTGTCACCTGTGATAATCAACAAAGCGCTAAATTAGTTGGTGCTTCCAATTCCGTATCTGTGAGATGGGGAGACAAAGTGTCACAGTGTCAGTGTCTATGTCATGGGATTACTATGAGGTTAAAAGAATACAAATGATGTAACCACTGTCATTAAATGGTGTACTACAGAAAGTGTTGAATTGGTGTATGCTTTAATGAGCATCTACCCCAAACCAAAAATAAAATTATATATAAAAAAAGTAGTAATACAAAGAGATTAGAGAAAAAATATGTAGAAAATTATGAATAAGTGCCAGTTATTGCCACTAGGAAGGATCTTGGAGACATGATATTTAAGTGCTTGGTTATTAACCCAAAGGTTTGCAGTTCTAACCCCCCTCAGCACTCATCAACAGAGCAATATGGCAGGGAGCTTTTGTAAAGACTTAGAGCCTCAGAGACCTGTGGTCAGTTTAACTTCAACTGACAGTGTGTGTTCTTGTGACCCAGAACTCACGTGGTGCTGCTGTCTGGTTTCGTTTCTCACTATTGTTTGCTGAGTTAAAGATCTCCACACACTTCTCAGTCTTAACAACTGACAATCCAAACAGAGAGCAACCCTGAACATGTGGTAACTGACTTTAGGAGGTAGCTTCCCCAACCGACATTTTGCTCATAGCCAGAAGTTCACTATACACATTTTGCCTATGGCACGGTGGAGGTGAGTTGTTGGGGTCCTGGAGTGTGTGGATTACTACAGCTCCTATATTTATCAGGAGAGCGGGGGTGTACACACTGCTATTTCCCAGAGTAGAGCTATAAGCTTTTGGAGCTCACCAAATAAACAGTGCTACAATAGAGCTGAATCTATTCAGTCATGCTATGCACATCGGGCTTTTAGTCAGCATCTCCTGAAAGGAGATTAGGTTTATCTGCCTGGGATACACACACTTTCCCTGGCCAGCCTTTTAAAAGGCAGGCGCCGCATCAGAGTAGGGTTGTCTGAAGGATATATTGTATATCATCCTCAAAATCCCCTTCCATACTATATTTCTCTCAGAACCTCAGGATGAATGCTAACCATTCAGTGTGATTTATCACATTTGAGTTTCTCAAGCTGTTTTGTAATGTGCTCTTTAGAGACTTCAATCTCTGCCAAAAGTGCAACCCAGCCTTATTGTAAACCTTCATTAAAATCACAATAAAAAAACCCAAACACTGTATTCTTATTTCCTATGAACACACATCAAATAGTGTGTACACTGCAATGTGTTACAGATAAATAACTTAGATGTTAATTTCTGCCTGAAGTGCTTGCTACAGAGGGTCAAGGACTGCAGCCTCCAATATGGATTGAGGCTCAATGTCAAGAAGACATTCTTGACATTCTCACCTCTGGACCAACTGGCAGCATCAGGATGGATGGTGAAGAGATTGAGATTGTTCACAGCTTTAGTTTGCTTGGCTCCACAGTCAACACTCTTGGCACCAACAGCCACGAAATTAAAAGGTGTAGTGCCATGGGAAAGTCTGGTGTTAGGGACCTCTCCAAAGTACTGAACAGCAATGGTGTCTCTCTGGAGACTAAGGTGCATCTGATACAGGCCACGGTCTTTGCAATCACTTGTTATGCATCTGAGAGTTGGACAATGACTAAGGAGGATAGAAGGAAAATTGATGCCTTTGAGCTGTGGTGCTGGAGAAGAGTATTAAGGGTACCATGGACTGCTGGGAAAACAAACAGATTCATCCTGGAGAGGGTTAAACTGGGCTGCTCCTTGGAGGCAAGGATTCTGAGGCTCCTTCTAACATACTTTGGACATGTTGTAAGAAGGGACCAGTCCTTGGAGAAGGACATCATGCTTGGGAGGGTGGAGGGACAGCGCAGGAGGGGAAGGCCCTCTATGAGGTGGATTGATTCAGTGACTGGGGTAATCGGGATGGGAGTGTCAGAGACAGTGCAAGTGGCACAAGACAGAGCAGAGTTTAGGACTTTTGTACATAGGGTCGCTATGAGTCGCAAGCGACTTGACGGCACATAACAACAACAACAGCCCCTTCATGATACTTCATTCATGGTCCTCCTTTCATTTAACATCAAAAAGAACATGTCAAGATCGATTCTCAAGGACAATGCTGTCAGTGATAACATCCATACACATACAAGGAAGATCTGTTTACAACTATTTTCAATATTTACGTATCAACCACTAAAGCCAAAAATGGACAAACTGAGGATATTGACTAACTGGTAAGGAATGGAAATGAGAAAACATTCAATCAAAAAAAAAAAATGAGGACTGTAATACAGAAACTGGAAACAAAGAAAGGACTGTTACAAAATACCATTTTGATGATAGAATGGAGACTAGAGATTGGCAGAATTTTATATAAGCAATAATTTATGCACTGCAAATAAATATTTTTCTTAAAAAACATAAATTGTTATAACACATTTGGTCCTCACCAAACTACATGTATAGAAGGAAATTGTGGAAAAGCTTAGTATCAGCAGTGAGAACTAAGCCAGGCAGCAAATGTGCAATGTGAAATCAACTGTTCACATGCAAGTTAAAATTAAAATGGAACAAAATAATATACGTACAGGCAAGCCAAAAATCTGACCTTGAGTATCTCTCCCTTGAATTTAAAAATCATCTCAAGAACAGATTTGATACTGCACATTAATGAAGCTAAGTTGTGAGATGATATCAAGGATATCATTAATAAACAAAGCAAAAAGTCATTAAAAAGAAAAGAAATAAAAGACCAAAATGAATGTCAGAAGAGATCCCAAAACTTGTTCTTGGTTGGAGAGAAGCTAAAGTGAAGGAAATAAAGAAGGTGAACAGAAGATATCAAAGGGCAGTTTGATATGACAAAGTATTTTTACAAACTGTGCAAAGATCTGCATTTAGAAGACAAAGAGGAAGAACACACTTGGCATTTCTCAAACAGAAAGAAGAAAACTTTAAACTTTGAGTTGTAATATGGAAGGATTCTAAGTCAAAATATTCAATGACAGAGGAACATCAAAAGAAGGAACACACAAAGAATCACCATACCAAAAAAAGAACTGATTTGACTAACATAAAATTATTTCAAGTAGTAGTAATGATCAAGAACCAATGGTAATGAAGGAAGAAGTCCAAGCTGCACTGAAAACACTGGCAAAGGTAAAGTTCCAGGAATTGAGATAATATCAACTAGGGAGTTTCAGCAAATAGATACTGCCCTTGGATGAGCTCACTTATTTATGCCATGACACTTAGAAGACAGCTACATGACCCACTGACTGGAAAAAGAACCATATTTGTTCCCATGACAAAAAAAAATCCCAAAAACATGATCCATCAGACTGCAGAAATTCTCAAACAATATTAATATTACATACGAGTAAAATCTTGTTGAAGAATATTAAAAAACAATTGGAAAAGTACATCAACAGAGAATGTGAGAAATTTAAACTGGATTTAGAAGAGGACACTGAATTAGAGTTATGGCTGATATCAGATGTTGGCTGAAAGTAAAGAGTACTTGAAAGATGTTTACTTGTGTTATACTGACTATGCAGAGACCCTTGACAGTAAATATGTAATCTGGTCCATGTGAAATCTGTAAATGAAGTTTTTAAAACAGAGCAAGGAGATAGTGCATGGTTGTAAAGGAGTGAAAAAAATTTGTTTTAGGTTTGTGTTCTTTCAACAAACCTATCAAAGCTGTATTCTAAGCAAATAATTAGAGGAACTGGACTATATGAAGAA